TACATTGAGCAAGACTAACCATAAATTATTTGTTATTAAACATGGCAACATATTCTCACAAGGTTAATGAAAATTCTCCACCAAACTGCTAAACATTTTCCATACTCTTCGGTACCTAGTCTATTATTTAAAATCATTTTTTTTTAATAAATAATAATCCTATTTAAAAAACTGCCCATCTTCCGGAAAAACCTTTTTAGAAAAATAGTTAATATTATCGCAACAATTAAATAACATTTATTCAACAAAGCTATTATAGTTTCTACAATTGTAAAGTAATGGAAATTGTTGTTAATTGAAGCAGAACATTAAGCATTGCGGCCATTAAAAAATATTCATAACATTTATCAGTTTTAAAAACAATGTTAACTAACATTATGTAAGTTTCATAATCACGCTTTTTTAATGGTTGTACTAGAAAGCGTGCAAGAATAGTTAAAAATAATAATAAGAGTAATAACAGCGAAAAGTGGTCATTTTTACCATTCATTTGATTCCTAATTTTGTTGAAGATTTCAGTAAAAATGACAAAAATACTTGTATTAAGTTTTAGAAAAATTAAAGCAGTCTTTAATTCATAATTTCTGCCTAAGCTTAAAACAAGGAATAGGGGCATCCCCGACATTTCAAATAACTGCTACATTAAGGCAATATGCGTATAATTCAGGGATGTTAAAACAATACTGCACACGCAAAAAGAGTTGCCACTTCTTTTGTCTTTGCATTTCCGCCAAAGTGAGAGCAAGCAGTTGGGGCTTCCCCAAAATTTGTACGGATTTGCAAACTCGCACAACATAGAAGTTGAAAAACTGGAAAAAAGGAAAGGTACCTAACAACGGATTGATCAATTTTGCCAGCACTACGCAAATAAGTTTGGTAGAATATATTATGCACCGGTTTTCCGTTGCAACATAAACATCCGATACTCGAAGAATATATTAGATTACGTGTTACGCAGTCATGCAGGGTAGTAAAAACAAAGAACTCAAATTTCTCCATTGTTGCCTGCTGTTGGTCCCAGCAATACGGGACCAACTTATAGTAGGTACATACAGTACCCATGCTAGCATGTATATGGTTGATCAAGGCGTACTTGTACGACAAAAAAAATATTCCTGCAAAACCGAGAACTCGATATCTGCGGGAAATTTAATCTGTCTATATGACGGAAAGGGGCCGTTTGGTTTAAAAAAAAAATGAGAAAAGACAGTATTGAGTTGCCGTCGAACGGCTACGTTACTATTACCGGTAACAAAACTATGTTTTTTTTTATTACTACTATTCATATATGTATCTAACACCATTTGTCTATGTAAGTGAATATCTATTTTGTATTAAGGTACTGAGTGTGACATCAACTTAATACTTAAGACAGGTGTCTCGATCTGAACGACAAGTATTTTTACGACTGTAAAAGTGTACATGCACTCAACTTATATAAACCTATTTTGGTACTGGGGGCTGTTTTCCTGTGGTGGAGAGATGCTTTTATTTTCTAGCACCATATGAAATCAGTTCTTAATGCCATTTAGCACCAGTTGTTCGAAAAGACAAAAAATATGGCGAATTTATTCACTGCAACCCACAGGTACTTCCCAGAACAGGTACGTATTTATTTAACACAAAAAAAATTAAGCTTAAACGTAGTAATCAGTAGAGTAAAATAAAATAAGTACTTGACTTTATAATATTCAGTTAATTAAATGTGAGCCACTTAATTTTGTAATAAAAGTAATTATTCCTAAGTTTTGCATTCTGTTCTTCATCTTTGCAATAATGATTTCTCTATATTGAATAAAAAAGTGAATATACTAACCCAATAAATGAACAAATATTTCTTATAAAACAAAATTATCCTATGTGCGTTATCATGTCCATATTCTAATGTTACGCAAAAACAAAAATACGATGGGTACCTTTAAAAGGTACTATGAAGTGCCTTTACCAACTATGTCGTTTTGTTGTTATTATATAATGAGTAAATGTTATACCAATAGAAGTAAGGAAAGCTTGAAAAACAGTCATAGCAAAAATTATTTAAATGCTGTTAGTATGTAAAAACAATAATGTTTTTAAATAAATAATGTTCTTTCAAAACTTACCAGCAATGCAGATAGTTAATTGTGTAGTTAAAGCTTCTTGAAAACCATTATGTGATATCCATTAATTTCCCAAAAATATCACTATTCATTAATAAATACACCTTTTGAATAGCACAATCTCCATTTTTATTAAACTTTTAACAGTTCAGAGGGCAGTTCTTATTTTTATTATAAAGGCCAATAAGTTTATTATGATTTATTTAGCCATTCACAAGTTTATATGTGCTTCTTACTGCTTTTTTAATCTAGCAAGTAACAAGTACATCAGATCATCTCCTTATATTCAAAAAATATAAATAATTTAATCAGTATTCCCGCATTAATAAATTAGCAGTAATTCAAACCCACTTTTAAAAAAATTAAGTTAGAAGTTCCGCAACACAACATACACCTTAAAAATATTTAATGTGTAAATTATGGTATTTCATATTAATTTAATAATAATAATGAATATAATAAATTAATAATTAACTTAGAATATTACCAACTGTAAATGAATTCGTTCAATATGATGATTTAATTGTATTTCATATTAATTTGGAGTATGTTGAACTTATCCTAATTATCAAATTATATAAAATTGTGTAATGTGTACAATTGTAAATGTGTATTTTACATCATTTACAATTGTTTTAAATATAATAATCTGTATTTTTTATTTGCATTCTGTTTACGATTAATTTGTATTTTAATTTAAGTATATTAAGCAAATTCTTAAGATTCATCTCTTTTGCAAATACTGAACGCTTACATCGTGTAGTTTTTTTAACTTTTGTGGCTTTTATAACTCTAAATATGTCATATGTACCTAAGTAGAAAGACAAGATATAAATTAATGATTTTGCGAACCATACAATCAATTCAGAGAAAAATACGTTTTGCATCTTTAAAATAGTTTTTTATTTTGCTCCTTCATAAAAGTTATCACATATAATAAGATAATAAAAATAAATAAGGATCAATGCAAAAGTTTTATTAAACAATATTTTACATATCCAAAATCATAAAATAAAAAATACTCAGTTTGTAAAATAAAACTAACGAAATTTTCGCTGTTAAACTTAACTTTAAATCACATTTTATTTTAATTATATTAATCACGGTAAATGCACCAAAATTCACCCCCTTACTTTCATCCCCCAAATACTGGAACGTTTGGGCCCTACTGTCGGCCTAGCTACCGAACTAAATTTAAACTTATTTATTGTAACATGAGGACCTAAGGCATTTTGAACCACTTCCAGTTCTTTGGCATCAATATAACCCCCGTGGACGTCCAAAAACTGAAGAGAAGTCATCAACTTTAATTGTCTGTAAATAATAAAAATTAATTTAATTAATACCGTAACTGATTAGGAAATGTCTAAAAAAACATTAACAATAACTAATTTTCAAATATTGAATGAAAATGCTACAAGAAGAAAGTACTTGTTTAAGCAAATACATTGAGCAAGACTAACCATAATAAAGGACAATATCAGTGTCAAAATGTCCCCCATAAGAGTGAATTTATTGTTTTTTGAAGGTATCTTGTAAAAACTATGGCGTTTATAATCACAATTTAAAATATACTTACAGTAATGCTCTATAAGGAATGAGATAACAGCGTGACAGCGCTAAAAAATTCAAGTCTTCGAGTCGAACAATATGTTTAACAGCTTCCCCTGTAATACCTGTACAGTCGGATAAATCTAATTCCCTTAAACGCGGACAGTTTACAACTAAATCCATAACATCTAAAATTGAAACAAAATCATAAACAAATTTTCAACTTTATCCATTTTTTTGTTATAAATTACTTTCATCATTTAACAATTTTCTGCAACCAGAAAAATTTAACCTATCAAGACTAGAACAAAGGTTGCAGCAGATGTATGTAATACAAGGTGAATCCAGATAAGTCCAAGCAATATTTAATTCACGTAATCTGAAAAAAATATATTCAATTTATTGATTTTACACTATAATTTCTATGCCTATATTTAGATAAAAAAAAGATTTTTCACATACTTCTGACAGCTAGAAAGAAGATATTTCAGTCCATCAAGTTGAAGACCTTCCACCATTGCTAAATTAAGAATTTCAAGGTCTGTATTCAATGATAAAGCCAACATAACATCATCATCAACTTGAACATGTTCTAAACTCAATTTTTTCAAGCGATAACATCTACTAAACAGCATAACTAGGCTCTCTGTTGATATGTGAGCCATACTTAAGTCTAAATACAGCAAACGTGCTCGAAAGTCTGATAAAGCTGCTTTGACACCTGACAAAATTGGAGGGAAGGCAATCTTACTCAAAAAAGGTATTAATTAGAAAATATGTACTGTATGAGGATTAAAAAATAGGCACAAACTTACTTCAGACTGAGCAAGTCTTAAAATTAAAACTTGTCTACTAAGAATGTGACCTATGGCTCCAGGAGGTAAATTTCTATTAGAAACATCCATTCTGCTCCAAAGGCTCTCATCTTGAGATAGCCGATGCCATCTTTTACATACTAAGGAAGTATCAGTAAGGAATCTCTTTGGAAGCCAATGAAATATGTGAAGAATAACCTCATCAGATAAAGACTCAAAATAATCTAAAATTCATACTATGATTATTAAAAAAGGGATATTGTAGGTGTTATTACTTGTGTCATCTGTAATACTTCTATTAGGTTCTCTAATTAATAAATTATGCCAATCACCATTAGAGATCTTCTGAAGTGTTTCTTTAGGCAGTGTTGACTCAAGTAAAGCAATCTATAAATCACAATTAATGATAATAAGAAAATACATACAAAAGAAAATACAAAAGAATTAAGAGAAGCATACAAAAAAAAATGAGACAGGGCAAGTTATAAGCATAAAGGTGTATGTACCAAAATGAGAATGAATGTGATAAGAGTTACACATACATAATAACACAAACCTCATCAGAAATCATTCACACACTAAGTTAATAAAACTCTTAATATATAACAATAACACATTACCTCTTTTAAACGATCTTCTTCGGTCATATCAACAGAACTACAAGAAACGTCAACAGAACTCGAATTAGTGAAGTCCCACTGTTTTCCTTCAGTCAAAGCATCTGATTCAGCACCCAAATGTGCTACACCATAATCAAATATTTCATCTAAATTTACATCCTTTCTCTGTAAACTCCATTTTTCAACAGAATTGTATTCTGTTTCAGAGTCATATCTTGCACGTTTTCTGAAATAATTAAAATTTTATTTAAATACTTAACCTCGCTTACACGCAGATGAAATTTTAAATAGTTCCTCACCGCGGAGGCGATTTTTCCATTCTACATAAATTTTCATGAGCAATTTTCAATAAATCGTCTTGTTCAATTTTCATTATTATTTACAGAAAACCGTTCTAAACATTAATTAAAATCAACCATTATACATTAACTGGGTACCATAAGTGCACCAATTTCCCTCCGAAAATCAACCCAACACATAGATAATAGACCCAACATACAATAGTAGATACCGTAGATACATATACATATTGATAGGTAGTAGTGTCTCATAGTCCCATGCATAGGTCCTATACTTCTACCACACATTCTCAGTTATTTTTTTTTATAATAAACATTTAAAATATAAATAAAGTATAATTTATTACAGCTTACATAATATTATATCAAAGCATTAATATATTACATAATTAGCTTTTAATATTTCTGACAACGACCTTCTAAGCAAATCAACCCTTCTCGACACTCGGCTTTAGGGGGTGGTGATCCTAGCAATGCAATTGGACATTGTTGATCTTCATCTAAATTTTTGTTGTTAAAAAAATTATAGTAGATATATGCAGACATTTCTTACCTAATAAATCTACACAAATATAACAACAACCACAAACACCTTCTCTTTTCAGTTGATTTTCTTTACACTGTATATTCGCGCATCTAACCATGGAACAGCTATCTGGAAGGCAAACAAAACCTTCTACAATGGAAATATGTAAAATGTTAGAAATTATTAATAAAAATGGAACAATCTTCATTATTCTAAACTGCATATTAAGGACAGATTAATTACGTTTTGTTGTACTAATTTCTTATATACCAACCTACTATCGAAACGCAATAAAAAGTGTTGATCTTTAATTACGTATAAGAAAAGCTAACAACAAGTGTAAATAGAAGTTTATTAGTAAATAGCTATAAATAGATAGTCATTAATTCCGATTAATTTTTCAAATACATTAGTTTGCATCAGCTTTAACAGATGGCATATGACATAAAAATCAGCTCTATGATAATCTCGTTATCCTCCCATCACCTCCCATACTCCCATAGATTATGAACCTCCTTAAACTTTAGGATAGTTGTTTATCCGATTTACATTTTTATTAGAAGTAAAATTTTACCACTTGTAATATTTCCAATAATTGATTAATTATGCCTGTTGCTGAAGAAATAAAGTCAAGTTGGGCAGATGAAGTTGAATTAGAAGGTGGAACCCTTCAACCTACAACTGAAATACGTGAAAATGGATTGAAGATTATTACCGAATACAAGTACAATGATGACGGCAAGAAGGTAAAGATTGTACGAACCTATAAAATTGAAAAGCGTGTTGTTTCCAAAAGCATTGCTAAACGAAAGACTTGGGCTAAATTTGGAGAAGCTGCTGGTGATAAACCTGGACCAGATCCAGCCACTACAATAGTTGGTGAAGATGTCTACATGCAATATGTTACCAGCAAAGAAGACGAGAATAAGGTTGAAGATGACTCAGGCATAGATAAATTAAAAGGTAATGCATTAATTATTTGTATGTTTGACAAAGTTAATTTTTAATATATTTATATTGTTAGCTATGGGTGACAAAAATATGGTAAAATGCCGTACATGTAGTGGTGAACACTGGACTTCAAAATGTCCATGGAAGGATACCGTTCTTCAAGGTGGCAAACTTCCTGGAGAAGCAGAGAAGAAGCCGGCAGCTGTTGATAGCTCCAAATCATCTGCAACTGGGCCTGGTGGAACCAGTGGTTCTAAGTACATTCCTCCAAGTATGAGAGATGGTGGAGCAAGAAGAACAGAAGGAAGTACAATGAATCGTAGTCGTGATGATGCTTCTGCAATTAGAATATCAAACCTCAGTGAGTCAACAACAGAAACTGATCTTGAAGAACTGGTTAAACCATTTGGCCCAATCCAAAAATTATATTTGGCAAAAGATAAAGTTACTGGACAGTGCAAAGGATTTGCTTATATTCACTTTAAATTTCGTAATGATGCTGCAAAGGCTATAGCTACTTTAAATGGCTATGGTTATGATTATCTTATTTTGAATGTTGATTGGTCAAAACCACCAACTCATTCAAATCAGTAAGTTTAAGGGCACATAAAAATACACTCAAAATGTTAGTTTTATGAGTTTTGTTGTGTGAATAAAAGTTTAAAACAAGTGTGGTCATTTATTAACCATATTACTTTTTAAAAATAATAAACTGTAATTTATCCTTTGAACAGTACATATTATTTTATTAAACAAAAATACCTGAAGACAAGGTATTATAAGAGATGGTAGTGTAATCATGTACTAAAGTTAGCAATACGAGATTAAAATTAAAAAGAAAACTAAAAAATAAAAGATGTGAAGATAATAAGGAAATGTTTACGGATAGGTAATTATTAAACGTGATAAATATCTTTTTTTAATGAATGATCGTGCAGATATTTTATAGATGTGTGTGCGCGTTTTAAAACACCCTGTACAGTATTCTAACCTGTTTTTGTGCTTGTCAAATCAAAACGTGACAAATAACCTTATTTTTGAAAATAATTTAGTTTAATTATAATTATTTCTTTTGTATACCATTATACATATATTTGTAAGATTTCTCTAAAGTTTGTGCTTGCCGTGCAACGTTACATTTAGTATTAAATACTTAAATAATGGCAAAGTTTAAATTGAGTAAGTTTCAAAGCATTAAATGTTATTTCGGTTTTTATAAATTCTAAACAGTTTAGGTTTTTAAGTGATTAGTAAAAAAAATTTATATATTTTCCCTTTTAGAAAAGCAATCGAAACGTCAACCTGCTAGACTAAGATATAAAATTGAGAAAAAGGTTCGTGAACATAACAGGAAATTGAGAAAAGAAGCTAAGAAAAAGGGCCCTGGAAAACAGAAACTTATACAGGTGCCGAATATATGCCCATTTAAAGAAGATATATTGAAAGAAGTTGAGGCAATGAAGAAAAGAAAGGAGGAAGAGAAACAAAAATTAAGAGAAGCTGCTAAGTTGGAAAAGGCTAAACAAAAAGAGGAACAAAAATCAAAACCTCTTGCAACTGGAAATTTAGAAAACTTAGTAACATTTAAAAGTTAATTATTGTGAGAATACATATTGAAGCAATATATTTTAGGTATCTAAAGTTGAAATGAGAAACAAAATTCATGAAAAGTTATCAGTTGGATCGGATAATACAGAAAAAGACTATAGTCAGCCAAAAGAAAACTCACTGAAGGCTTATTACAAAGAATTTAAGAAAGTTATTGAAGCTGCTGATGTCATATTAGAAATTGTAGATGCAAGGGATCCATTAGGAACAAGATGTCTACAAGTGGAAGAAGCAGTAAAAGAAGCCAATAAAAGATTAGTTGTAATTTTAAACAAAGCAGGTGAGCCTTTATCATTTACAGTTTAATATGTTCTATAAATAGGTTGTTTTCTACTGCAGATTTAGTTCCACGTGAAATTTTGGATAAATGGTTAAAGTATCTTAGAAAAACAACACCGGTTGTTGCATTTAAATGTTCCACTCAAAATCAGACAAGAAAATTAGGTCAAAAGAAGTTCTACTACACAAAAACATCAAATAAAGTTTTGCAAGGTTCTTCCAGTGTTGGGGCAGAATTATTGATGTCTTTACTAGCAAATTACTGTAGGAACAAGGGAATCAAAACATCAATTACTGTAGGAGTGGTGGGATTACCTAATGTTGGTAAAAGCTCACTTATTAACAGCTTAAAAAGGTCGAGAGCCTGCAATGTTGGAGCATCTCCAGGAATTACAAAGTAAGTATATTTAATGTTTTTCATTATAAATAAGCAACTTTAAAATCAATAAAAACAAACAAATAGGCATAAATATTTCAAAGATAATTGTATTGATTTTGTATCTCCTTATCACGTTCCATATAGTCTCTTTCTATCAGTGATTCAATTCTTTTCTTTAAGTCAGCAAGCTAAAATAAGTAGATATTTATAACAATTCATTTAATGTCATTTAAATTCCACTTACTGTAACTGGAAATTTTAACTGCAAACACAATTCACTAACCAGAGTATTATGACTTAGTGCTTTGTGCGTTTTCATTATCCTTACAATCGCCGCGTCAATTTGATATTGACGATCTTGGAAAACCCTTTCTTCTGTTGCTTTTTGCTCTTCTGTCTGTAAATATCTCTCTCATTCTTTAACTAAATATCATTTAAAAAAATCGAGTCTTCAGTAGTCGATGATGTGTAACGTCTAACTTTAATAACGATCAAAATAATAATTTTGCAATGTAAACTACATGACAATGTGTGATACTGTTCAAGTTAATAGGAGAGTGTAGTTGTAATAAAAAGGAGAAATTACCGTTTCTTTCATTTGAATCTGATTAACTGTCACCCTGAACAGCTTGTTTTTAAAATCGGCATTATACATGAAGTAGTCAGTATCTTCTACGTCTCTTCCTTTTGGCCTTTTTAACAAAACTCGCGTTTTACCACATGCCAGTGATTGTAGAGTTCTTTTAAGTTCTAAATCTTCAATGTTACTTGCTCCTTTGATATATTCGTAGGACAATTCGTTTTTTCCATTAAATAGAAGTAGCACGAGAGTTTGTAACAAAGATACTAACAGTTCCTTTATTCCTACTTTGAATTGTGCCCTTACTACACAATATCCTAATGTTGGCTGCCACGCAAGCTTTCTACCACTGTGTTTGCTTAGATAAAAATTATTGAAAATCTCCTGGTAACGTAACATTTCTTCAGGTAAAACTACATTCATAATGGGATATGTAGGCCAATATCCCATTGTTAAAGTGTTAACGGTCATATCGAGAGGGGTAAATTCTGTGTCTTGGGTGTTGTTCAAACTATGTGAAAGATGTTGTTTGAATGCTCCATTGATATCTTTACTTAATTCCATGTCTTTAAACATTCCTTCCAGTTTTGATGTAAATCCACCACCGCATTCTTCTTTAAGTTTGCTTAGCATGCTCTTTTCGTAATCCACGCTCGCAGATTTTCCAAACAGAAGACGTTTTGCAAGATCTTTTTTGTAAAATGCTTCAAACACATCTTTGCCATGAATGAAACGAAAGAGGACCATAATCTTATCGAGAAGAATTTCAAGTTCCTCGTCAGTGGATTCTTTATTTCCAATCCGCAATTTCGAGTCGATGAATTTTGCTACAGGTTTAATTTTTTAATGGCTTTATATGTAATTATTGTTACTAATATCAGATATCTCTTACCAACAAGCTCAGCAGGCGCATTAATCCTCAAATTAATAAAATATTCAAATGCTTCCTTCAGAGAATTTGTGAACTTTTCGTTCTTTTCAAAACATTTAGCAACTACATCATCCATTGCATCTTTAAAGTCCAGGAGCATTTTTACCATGTTTTTGTCGTTCTCGGGATGACTTACAACGTTTCGTCCATATTGCTTCATGTAGCTGTTGAAGCCTGCACAAAGTTCTGCATGTCCGCTTTTTACTCGCCCAAGAAGAAGATATAACAGTGATAAATTATAGTGGTCTCTTGAATCTAGTAATTTGTTCAATCCTTTGTCTAAAGTCTTTTGAATTTGATCGGCTATAAAGTTTTTCTCAATAATGGTGATCAGTCGGGGCATAGTCCCTGAATCTAAATATTGATTACCTCTGTTATATTCTTCTTTGAATCTCTTTCTTACGTGAGAGAGGTATTCAGGCAGATCGAAATTTTTAATGCAATAATTTGCCTCCGCAGCATACATATTTTCGCTTTCAGTATAAAATTTTTCTTCAAACACAGGTTTATAAATTTGGAGAATGGTTAGCATGCGTATTATTGATCTAATTAGATCACGATCAATTGTGTTGGCGTCTCTTTCTTGTTTGATCAATAACAAAAGAGCATCAGTTATCTTCGTTTTAACCAAGCAGTTTCTAATTATGTATTGACGAAAAAGATCCAAACCCATGTCCCAAATCGAAGCTGTCTGAACGTTATGAAGTACATAGGTGCGATCCAAATGGATAAAAATATTACGTATGGTTGACATTTGTTTGCAATGGATTACCCAAGTATTATTTATAACTGTTAAAAATTCTTGAGGATCATTTAACGAGTCGTTAAGAAAAGATGAAACGCTCTGACCTACGTGATTTTCCACGAGATAGTAGAGATTGTCATAAAGGAAGTGGGACATATTGTGAATACACATGCTCTCCACGTCTCCATAAAGCTCTTCTAAAGAATATTTTAAGATACTGGAGTTCTGAATTGATATTATGGCATCACGTAATTTATTCCATGTATTTTCATAATAATTTGGAGGAAGCACAGGATTACCTGGAAAATTAAAACACTAATAAAATAAACTGCAGAATAAGTTTTCTATCATACCTCGAAATTTTTTTATAAAAATTTTTTTCATGTCACTGCTTCTGTTAAAGTTTTTTAGATTGACTTTATTCGTTCCAAAGATCGATACTGGTGTTGAAGATCTATTCATTTTGGATTGTTTCTTTTTGCAGTTTTAATTTTAATTACTTGACATTAAATTAACTTAATTTACAAAGCTAACTAAGATGATTTTGAATTTTTAATTACTGAAAATAAATTTTGCCAAAACCGATAACAGTTCAGTACACTTGTCGATAATTGTTATGATGTTGCTTTAAAGAAGTTTTACCTATTATTTTTAAGTATATATTTCTGGGACTAATGTAAAACGGTTTGTTTGTAAATTACCGAAATAAAATTCTTATATTGAAGTTTTGTCGGCTATTGGCAAAATTAAATTTGAATGATTAAAAAAGAAAACCTGTTTATTAGAAAGTTTCAGTTGTACTTTTCTGTCTAGAGCTATGCAAGAAGTCCAGCTAGATTCCAAAATTAAATTGTTAGACTCGCCTGGCATAGTTTTTGCTAGTGGTTCTGACGCTAGTTCTTGTTTACGAAATGCCGTAAAAGTTTCTTCCATAAGTGATCCCACTGTTCCTGCAAACGCAATTTTACAAAGAATTTCTAAAGAGCAACTTATGGAATTATACGATCTAAACGAATTTGATACACCTGAGGTAATGCTTTTCAGAAGTACATATGGCTATTTAGTACGTGATAAATATTTCAGGAATTCTATAGTTTAAAAGCGGCTAGAATGGGACGATATAGAAAAAGAGGAATACCCGATTCTATAGCTGCAGCTAGAAGTCTATTGGAAGATTGGAATAGGCAAGTTGTTTCAAAATTATGGAGTAGTTATTGCTAATATAATTAATAATTTATTTACAGGGGAAAAATACGATACTATACAGTTCCTCCTGAAGATGAAAGTAGTGTTCACATAAGTAGTGAAATAGTTTCTGAAATAGCAAAGGAATTTGATTTAGACAACTTTGAAAAAATGGAGATGGATGTTCTCGATAATTTAGAAAAACAAGGTGATTCCAAAGATGTTTCATTTGAAATTGAAGCCCTTGAATCAGTTGAACAAAAAATCGACAGTGAAATGGAAATAGATCAACCAATTGTATGTAAAAACAAGAAATATTATTTAATTTGTAATTAGTATTTATTTTTATTTATTTTTTATAGTTGGGAGATGTAAAAGTTGAAATATCAAAAAAAAATAAAGAAAAAGAAAAATCAAAAAAGGAACCCAATTCAGATAAGAAAGTGGATTCTGAAATGTCTTTAGAGGGTAATAAAGCACTTAATAAAGTTAGAAAACTACAATTCAAGAAACAGAAAAAACAGGAGAAAAGGAAACAGAAAGTAGAGCTTCAGCTATCAGCAGGACTAGAAAACTTCGCTCTTTCAGATAAGAAAAATGATAAATACGATTTCAAAACAGATTATATGGAGCAGGCATAATTATAATTGAGTTGTGAACTCCCGTAGGTGTTAGAAACAAAAAGCAATAAAAATTGTTTTTCTCACCAAATTTGTGTTTTAATCGTGAATGAAATAATCTCTAATTACATGTTTTGTAACGTATTTGAAAAGATTATACACTATATAAAAAGAATATTGCAAAGATAATGTACAGGTTGTCCAGTATCCATTTTATCTTCAGAAAAGAATCAAAGAAAACTGAGATAAAGACAGGATTTATTTGCAAATAATCAGTAATATACATTTTTCTGACGAAAGTAAAATAGATTTTAAGCGCCTTTTACACTCATATGAACATTAAGCTTTTTGTATTAATTGTTAATCACTAGGAACTTTATAGTCAGGAACTATTTCCCAAACTTTTTCTCTCCATTTTCGCTTCTTTTCTTCCTTTGCTCTTTCCAAATGTAAAACAGCCGGTAAGGTTATCCAGAGGTAAAAATAGTGTACTAACATTCGTCTAAACAAATTAAATAAGAGTGTATATTTTAGGCACAGCATATACTGCAGACAATATTTGCAGTCATACCTTCTGTAATGTCGTTGAGCTTTTTGCAAATTAGTTACGTTAGTAACGTACATTTTGCAAGAATAATCAAGTAATATTTTAAAAGCTTTAGCTTGTAATTTATAGTCATAATAATCCTCAGCAACTTGCATGTTTTGTATGCTCAAACGATATATCTTAAAAGAAAAATGGTCTCAAAATATTAAAGTTTATACAGTAGATACATGATAGTGTGGATAAACTATTAATACTAATAATAATGAAATAATATTTATATATAAACAGAAATTTTTAACAAGCAAATTAAATGAAAATATTACTCATCTTGTTCGAGTGATGAGTTTTAGAAAATAAAATGAATAATTTGTTTAATTGTTTCTTACCCTACACCAACATCTGAAAGATCTCTGCAGAAGTTTGTTTTGATAATGCTGACGTGCTATTTGACTTTTTTCAAAATCTCGATCGTAAACAAGTTTTTGCCATCTTTTCCAGGTATTTCGTAAAAGAATTTTCTTATAAAACGCTTTACTTTTTAAATTGTTACCATTTTTAATCTGTATGAGTTTTTTAAAACATTCTAAACCAAACCTGAGCAATTTCTTTTTATGATAATTTTCTGCTATTTTTAGTTTACTCAAATACAGTTCTTTATTCCTTTGCCTTCTTTTTTGAATTTCCAAATCACGTTTTCTTCTTTCTTTAATTGCTTCCATATTTTTTTTTCGTGCCTCTTCATCTTGTGCTTTTTTATTATCTATTTCTAGTTCTTTAAGTCGTTTCCTTTCTTCGTCAAGCATTTTCTTCTTCTCTAAAATAAACTCCCTTCTTACGGCTCTTTCAAAAGCTTTCTGCTCCATTTCTTTTATTATTTTTGGTGCTTTGCTAGAGACTAAGTCAAATTTACATATAGTTTTGTGATTCTCATCGAATATTATCGGTGCTACTTTACATTTAATTTTAGTACTGCACTTGCTAAATATCTCTCTAATGTTAATTTTTGTTGAGTCGAGGGATTTTTGAAGTTCCTCTTCCAGTTTTCCTAGTCTGAGAGCTTCTATTAGTTTTGCCTGTTCTTGTAGTTTCACTTTTTGTGTTTCAATGATTTCCTTTTGAGCTTTAAATCGGTGGCTAAAAGAATTTGCTTCAGCTCCTTTAAAATAATTCAGCTGTGACTTTATTTAAATTATAAATACAACTATTGTTCGAATACCTTGATTTTGTTTTATCATTTGATCATTTAGTTTTCTTGATTCTTTACATTTCACCTCCACCAACGGTTTATTATAGTATTTATTCTCAGCTTTTTTCTTCTCGAGATTATTTATAAATTCGTTTACTTTAGTTTTTCGATCATTTCGTTGATTTAATTTTTCAATTTTTTCCTTTTTATCTAATAAAATTTTTCGCCAAACATTAAAATATTTTTTTAAATTTTGTTTTTGATTATTAGAATTACTTTTACATGTTTCTTCTTTAGGGGTTGCGACGCATTTTTGAATACTCTGTATTTTAAAAGAACTTATTTTAGAAATATTTGAATTACTTATAGGATACTGGTGTAAAGCTGTTTTGTAAGGCTTATTAAATGGTTTAATGCTATTTAATGTTTCTTTAGGATTGGGCAAATTTTTCCAAAATTCGTTATCATCCCATTTAATGTCTTGTTGAAATTTTATACATCTTTGTTGCTTATTAATTTTTTGCTGTTCATCATAACAGCAAGATAAAATTTCATTCCTGTAATTGTCAGCTCTGTCATTAGAAGTTGTCCTAAAATTACTTTTACAGTATGATGGTGTAGAATTGAAACCTTACATTATATTTACCGATCTTTCTTTTGCTGAAAGGAGTTTATCACTTCACCCTGTATATTACAACACATATGTAAGTACAAACCGAAAGATAACTTATCAAAAAAGTAGGTAATATCGTATTTTTTATACTTACACTGTTTTCATTTGGAGACATAAGGTCCAATGGAATGTTATACTTTTTAAACAAATTTATTTTATCAAAAGAAAGCATATTGAAGCTTAATATATCATTTTGTACTGTTTGTACTTTCTACATAATAATTAATTAAATTGGTTACTTAGAAACGGAAAACTAATTAGTATTTTGCCACCCACATTTATTTATTTGTCAATTAAATTCATTAATAAAATTATACTATTGAAAAATAAGCAATGTATTTTAATTAAAAAATGAACTTTATAGTTTAAATTAAAAAATTTTAAAGTGCCGCTTACTTTTTTATATGTAATATACGCATGCGTGAGAATATAACCGCAACGCAACAAATATGGCGTTTACTGATAACCTGAGTGATAAAACGAAAAGAATGCAAATATGTGTTGTTTTGTAAAATGTGTAATGTTTTTATGTGTTTACCAACGAAAAATGTAACTTCAGAAGTGTTAAAAATGTTCGTTTGTTTTGTTTTGTGAATATTCAAGTGTATTTTGTACCTATTCAACAAAATTTGTTAATCTTAAAGTACTTGTTTGTTTATTTTATTTTGAATTTAATCAGTTTTTATAAAATTATCTAAAATGAGTCGTTGTCTTGAAGCACCTCCTAATTCGGGGAGCATAAACGATAACTTTTCAGCTACGATTCCAACAACTTGGTCTTCACAATCAACCACAACAAATACTTCAAATACGCTGTTACTTATTGCAGTAAGTTTTAAATTATTTTGAGTGAATTACATTAAATTTAGAAAAATTAATATATACATATAGCCTAGTCTAAGCAAGACATTTGCTAGTTTTTGGGGTTATGTCTTTTACAGCAGTTTGAATATTTTGTATATAAGTTCACTTGGTATTTTATAATTTCTAGGTAGAATATGTTAAAGACAACGAATATAAATTTCACACTACTGACACTGCTTTTGCTGGTCACACAATTGATTCATCACCTATATTTGAACAACAAGTTAGTCCATTGGATCCAAACATGAGCTCTGCAGCTCAGTATAGTCCTGAAAGTCCTTCTTATCCAGATGAGTCAAATTCTCTTTCAAATTCTACAGTGGTTGAGCAATTGATTTCAAGAAGTCAACAACCAGTTGAAAATAGATGTGGAGTTAACAGCTTTGTATGTTCAGATGGGCAAAATCCTGGATCTGTTCTTGCAGACAGTGGTCATCTTTTAAAGGATGTTACCACAGACCAGCTACTGTTAAATCAAAATGGAGTTGCAGGTGCAATTGGTGATGATGGTTTGGCTTTAGTTTCAGATCCTGAGCAGGAGGTAGAATTGCTAATAACAGACCAAGCAACAGGTATCCCCTTATCATAATGTTATGCTATTCTTATTTTTCAACATTTTCTTACTTTACTGTAGGGATTTCTTATAGTGTCAGTGCTCAAGAATATTTGGTGGAAAGATCTTTGGCAGATGATCAACAACTTTTAGATGTTTTGGCTCCAGATCCATTGTTAGATACAGATTTTTTGGCTTTGGATGAGTCAACGTTAAAATGTGAATTGAAAGATATTGATGTTTCTAGTGGAAATATTTTGGGCACTGAAGATGGCGTTTTGGATGGATCTGATGTTAATTTAGGATTAGGAGATACTGATAATTTAGAGGCAACTCTTGTGACAAAATTGGATAGTACTAATGAGAAGGATGTCTTGTTAAGAAGATCACAGAGGCAAAACGAAACTAATTCAATTGAAAATGAGGAATCACTTTGTAAGACCAAAAAACATTCATAATAACATTTTGATAAATATTTATTTTTCAGTATCGAGGGTTCACACAATTAGTGATAAACCTGTTCCCACTCGTGCAAGAGCTTCATTACCTGCCTCCTACCTTGTTATCAATAAAAAAGCAAATGATGGTAAAATTTTAAAACACTTTGTTTATAGAATAATTGGAATATTTTTTTTAGAATATGGTGTGTTTGCAAGGAAAGTTATACCAAAGAGAACTCAGTTTGGCCCTTTAGAGGGAAAACTTAAGCCTACAGAAAAAGTTAAAAAAGAAGATAGTCTATGTTTGCTATTGGAAATGGAAGAAGGAAAAATTATGCAGTTGGATGTCTCAGATGAGAGTTAGTATTATAAAAGTAATCCTTTAAAATCATTTATATTTATTTTTATTTTTTGAAGATATTGCAAATTGGATGTGTTTTGTTCGTAAAGCCAATAATTCTAATGAACAGAATTTAGTTGTTAGCCAGCAAGGGTCTTCATTATATTATACAACTACTAAGTGTATTTTTCCTAAACAGGAACTTTTGGTAATACATTCATACATTTTCTTATTTGTGTATAAATATTGAGTCAAACATTTACAATACTTTAAATATACGAAAAATATTTTGTTTAGTATTTATTTATTTTTTAGGTTGGCTATAGTCGTTCTTATGCTACAAAACATGGTTTTCCAACGTTACAATCGTCTCTAGAAGACGCAAAAGAATGGCCTTGTTTTGAATGTGGTGAAAGTTTTCGAACTTGGAATGAATTAAACATTCATGATGAGGTTCATGATATAAATTTAAGGCAACCAAAGAAGCCTCACAAGCCAAAAGTAAAGGTTAAAAGAACCCAGCGGCCTCGAATTCTGGAATGCAAAGCTTGTAGAGCTACGTTTCCAAATTTCAAATTTAATATTTTCCTCACTCACCTTAGACAACACGGCATCGACGAGAGGGAAAGTACAGAAGACAAAAAAATTAAAGTATCGTAAGTTTTAAAAATTGTAATTTGGGAATTATTGTTTTTAATACGTTTCTTTCGATTTTTAGAGTCTGTGATATTTGTGAGCTTCTGTTTCCTAGCACCGACGTTTTAGCAATCCATCAACTGGATCATAAAAAGGACTTTGCAACAGAACTAGTGCCCTTAGAGTGTCCTTATTGTTTTGAAAATTTTTCACAATTGAGCCAGCTTATTTCTCATGTTAACACACACACAGTTGGTATGATTGTACAACAGGCACAGATGAAGGGTTATAGGTGTCCAATATGTTACAAAATTTTTGCATCTAGAGAAAGGATTCAGGTAAGACATAATGAAATACACAGAAGAAAATTATTTGACTAAAAGACGTTAAAATATTATATTTTGATTAATAGTACATTTATTTTCAAAGAGAATCTAATTACTATTAATTTTATTTCAGCGTCATATGTTAGTTCATGGATCGGAAGAATCAAAACCCTTGAAATGCGATACTTGCGGTAAACGTTTCCTTAACAATTCAGCTCTTGCTTGTCACGTCAAAACTCACGGTGATGGCAGGTGCATGTTCGAATGTCCCATTTGTAAGGAACAATTTCGACACGTACTACAACTCAAGTTACACGTCCCTAAACACAAAGAGGATGGTAAATATCCTTGTCCACATTGTGACAAAATTTTCAAGGAGTATTGCATTATTCGTAAACATATTCGCGCTTTTCATTGCGAACGCAAACACGGTTGTCCTCATTGTTCAAAACTTTTTCCAACCTTGGACAAATTAAAGATGCACCTTCTGAGGCACTCAGATCACAGAGAATTTTTATGTGCCGACTGTGGAAAGCAGTTTAAGAGAAAGGACAAATTAAATGAACATACAAGGCGAATGCATACAGAGGAAAGGGAAAATGCAGTCCCTAGACTTCCAAAAATGGTGCATCAGTCGAAAAAATTTACTCCCAAGGTGCAGCCCACTGACTATCATCGATTTATTTATAAATGTCACTCTTGTCTTGTTGGATTCAAACGAAGGGGTAAGTAATATATTTAAAAAAAATATGGAGTGTAATTTCGTCGTTATTTAACATTTAGTCAAAAAGTCAACTCCACTTAAGTAATTAAGAAATGTTATTTAAACAGGCATGTTAGTTAATCATCTTGCAAAACGACATCCGGATATAAGCCCCGATTCAGTTCCAGAATTGAACTTACCAATCTTAAGAACTACTCGCGATTATTACTGTCAGTATTGCGATAAGGTTTACAAGAGTAGTTCAAAGCGTAAAGCACATATTTTGAAAAATCACCCCGGTCAGGAATTACCACTTAGTAATAGAAAGGTTGGCAATTTTCCCGAAATCCCCGGGCTTCCCAATCCAACATTTTCACAAACTGTCGGCAGTGTAACAACAAGACCTCAGGCGTGCCAGTGGTGCCACAAGCAATATGCAAGTAAGGCTAAATTGCTTCAGCATCAGCGAAAGAAACACCCTGAATGTGTAGTGGATGGGAGCAATAATGGGGTGGAAAGAAATGGCAATAATGGAGATAAATTAACTAGTACTCATCGAGGAACCGGAGTTGTTCAAAGGGATGAAGTTTTAGGAATCGTAATTGATGATAGAGCTTGTTTTAAAAGAGACTTGGAAGTGAGTAAATTGTTTATAAAACCTTTGTTTCATATTTGTTTAAATTCATTAATTAATTAGGCAACAAATGATGACCTTTTTACTGAGGTTGTGACATTAGGAGGTGATAAAGGTGACAATCAGTTTTACCATGTTATCACTGTACCAAACACGAATACTTCTGCAAACATGAACAACAACAATAATAACAATAATAACGACCCTAACAACTATTACTCTAGGATTTACAGGTCGCTAGCCTCAACAGGTTAGTGATTATCTTATTAAGTTAAAAAATTAAAAAACAATTTGTTTTTGTAATTTTTTTACAGTTAATTTCGTTCCCCCTCGTTGAGAAGTAAGTGGAATACAAACGGGGATCCTAATTCTATTTGGTGGTTTCGTACAGGAGACCTTTTTGCTTGTCGTACTATTTAGAACGACAATTTGGCTTTGAGTCTTTGCCGCGGGTTGAAACCTGCGATATAATAAGGGAGGAGATGTGGAATAACTACCCTCTTTAATATTATTATACTGTTAAGTAAATAAATAAATTACTCTTAGCGTTTTCGGCTAGCTCTCCAAATACGTTTTATTATAAAATATCATGCTGAAACGTAAATTTGTTTGATTTATTCTCAAAAAGGAATTTAAAGGTGATTAAAGGAAATTTGTAGAAACACGGTTGTAACAAAATTAATTATTTTTATTAGTTGATTTGTAAGAGACGAATGTAGTATGCATCTTTTTTGAGTGATAGTTTACGAATTGAAGAAAACTACACTTAGAAATCAAAAGGTGGATGCAGGGTTGATAAATTAAAAATTTATTTATTGCCTAGTAAAAACATAGAAACGCCTCAATTTAATTTAATGTTTTTAATAAAAAACTACACTAACTTAGTAATTACATAAGTGATTGACAAATGATTTTGAAGTGCTTTTGATTAAAATAAAAAAACGACCGAGAGTGTGGAAATTGTTTTTGAGTTAGTTAAGCAATTAACATGGGTTTAAAAAATAAGAAGTTATTTATAGATATTTTGCAATTTTTAAAATAAAATATTGAATTGCATTAAAATTTGTGATAGATAGAAAGTAGGATATACAAAAGGGCCACAAACGTTTTAAAGTAGGATCCTGTTGGGGGTTATTAATAAACATTTTCTACTTTTCGTCTACTAAAATGATATTGATACTGTTGTATTTGTATTTTTTCCAAAACTGGAAAATATTTATCTGTTTATGCAGTTATTTTAGCCCTAAACATTTTGTGATTCAATTTACATAAAATTTGAATAATTTTGTATTTCATTTTGAATTTTTAATGGAAAAATTCAGTGTGATATAAGGATTAACTGTGTTTGCATATCAAAAGTAAATTACTATTTTAATAATTGATTTTGATGTTATTTGCATACCTTACAGTGTTACTTTTTTAGAACTACCTTTATATATATAGTAATGGTTAATTGTATGTTTTTTTGTATATTTTGTATAAAAGATACATTGTACAGTATTTATTACCGTTTGTTAATGTTGTGACTAATTTTGTGGAATGGAGTTAATTAAAAAAATTGTCGTATATATTTTGTCGCTAATAAAAGTTTTCACATTTCTTCGACGTTTTATTTATAAAAAATAAATATTTTGATTTGTTTTATATGGTATATAACATAAACTGAGCTAATGAAAAAGGTAAGTTTACAATTCTATTACATTAATTAACTAATAATAAAATAAAAAAATATGGTCATTAAAATTTTTTAGCTAAAGTAACGACAAAAGAAATTAGAAGTTTATCCATGCTTTATTAAAATCTAAATACGAGGTGTTACGTACTTTGATAGTACATTCGAAAATTTTCTAAAAGTTAAAAAACAATCAACAGTTCTTGTAACCGATAGTATGTATGAAAATATAATGCATACTTTTAAGCCATAATGTTGAATATCCTTAAAAAAAAAATAGCAATATTATTGTATTTCATAATCTAAATTTTTGAATATTTTAAAGTGTATAAGTATCTTATCTTATCTTATCATAAATGTAAAGGCGATTAGATGGAAAACATGAGCACTTTAATTAAGAAGAATTTAATTTAGATACTGAAGGATTTAAATACGTTATAAGATTAATAAATATTTCATAAATAGATTTACAACTTAATAAACTTAATTGAAGGAAATAAAAGTTTTAAAACTATTTTTTTTATCACGATAAATAATAATTTGCTCCTGGGAATAACGTTTATCCTGTGTCCTTTAATTTGTCCTCCATTAAGCTTAAAAATTCAATAACTCAAGTTTCTGGCATTTCTTTTTGATATACATTTATGTAGCAAATGTAATTTTGTAAAGATTCTAGGACATTTTGAGTCCTTACGCAAGATTTATAAATTTTTGCAATCTTATCAAATGAGAAGCCGTTAACTACTGGCGGAACAGTATAAAAATATGTAAAAGTAGAAACACTTCGAGTAGTTTTAGAGTGTTTTATTAAAATTATTTATAGGTACCGCACTCATGTAGAAAAAAAAAAACGTGAAGCTAGTCTGCGTATTTGTATTTTTACTTATATTACATAATCATTATTGAAATAATGATTCTCTACTACAAAACGATTGAAGTAATTTGAATTTAAAATGTTCGGTTATTCTAGTTTTTAATGGTTTACCAGTCTGGCCAATGTTGCGTTTATCACAAGGACGATGAGACATGCTACTTAATAAAAGCTAGATTCATTAGAATTTCGAAGCTATTTTTCCTTGTTCTTTTAATAAGTTTTTTGAAAATAAAATAAGTATAAGGGCAGTAGAATTGCCGTATCTAAATAGTTTGGTAATATACCTTTATGTGATAAGTATGCAATTAATTTTGAATAGGTATACCTTTGTTTTAAAATATGTAATAAAGGAATAAGTAATACTGCCTTTTTGCTAAAACAGAAGAAATATTTCGTATACCGAATAGGTGCAGTCAATTAAAGATTACAATGTTTCAAGCATTTGACGTTATCAATCGAAAATTAATTCCTTATTTTCTGATACAATAGTATTATACAGATATTTATTTATCTATAAAAGGACAGTAGATAAAAGTTGCTGTATTGCTTTGAATTTTTTAAAATAAGCCTCATTGTTTAATCAAAATAATAGAGTAGACTAGTAATAAGTGTAAAGTTGTTTCTAACAAAAATGTGGGGACTTTTCGGAACACTATTCCTACTGGTTACAGGGATGTTTTCAGTTGAGGTGGGTCGTAGCTGTCTGGATATTTTAAACGTAAAATTTAAAATTACATTAGTTTACTTCCGAGATAAACAAATCATTTTTGTTAAAAAAAAGCCGTGTAATTTCCTTGTAATTTTGCGTCTTCATCATTTTCAATCAACAGAATAGTATGTAAATGGTTCTGAATTCAAATTCTTTTATGTGAAATTCTTTAATTGTTTCAGAAATCGCAAAAATTATTGAGTAGGTAGTGTAGTATCATATGACAATATAATCCGATAATTATATTTACATATACATATGTTCGAAATTCTACTATTTAGAAAAAGAATTTAATTCACAAATCAAGCAACTGAACTGTTCCAAAAAACAATATTATTCATCTATCCGTCTATACATAAAAATACATATCAGTTACGTAATCGATCCTTATTAAAAGAACCTTGGGTTGAGATATTAATGAATCTATTTTCAGATAATTAAATATAATCTATTTTCCTTAACACTAGCGCAACCACTCAAATTATCGTTTCTTATTTGACTGCAAAAATAAATTACTTTATTTAGGGCGAAATATTATCTATCCGCCATGGAATTCCACCGGCCAGGGAACCTGAAATAAGAACATCACCCGAATGGGGTACAATTACTCAAAGAGTTGATCATTTCAACCCAGCAGACAACAGAACCTGGGAAATGGTATTTATTATTATGTTATCGTAGATTTTTAAATACTTAATAGAAATTAGTTTTAAATGTTCTGAATTTTTTAACTAATTCTTCATAATTGAAAAAGAATTTTTTTTTTAATTCACTAACTTAGTATTCAAATTACTTCAATAATTCTTGATTGTAAAATATGATGAAAATATTAGAGATTAGTTTTATTTTTAATATAAAGTTTTATTTAGAGATACATACAAAATAACGCCTTTTTTGAAGAAGGTGGCCCCATATTCGTGTTCATAGGCGGTGAATGGGCTATTTCAACAGGCTGGGTTAGGTCGGGCATTTTCTTTAACTTAGCGCAATTACATAATGCCACTTTATTTTATACAGAGCACAGATTTTATGGTAACAGTTTTCCAATGGAGTAAGTGATAGTTACATTCTTTAATTTACCATTTCTATAATAGTATATATCTAGTTAAATTTAAATTTGAGCGACGTTTTCCATTTTCATATTCTCTTACTATTTTCATTTACTAGGATTAAGTACTTATACTTTTTCTTAATTACAACCAGAGATGTGATTTATTTGAAATACTCGCATTTAAAATACAAATACATAATAAAAAGTACCTATTTTTATCTTGCATTTAATACTTTTTTGAGAAAAGCATTTTGCATTTTATTTAAAATATTTTTCCAAACGTATTTTCTATTTGTAAAATGCAAAATACATTTTTGCCTTTAAAAGTTTTGCTAGTATCACCGATCAAACATTATATTGCTCACATTGGCTATTGAAGGTATTAGAAGCTTAAAAAGGGGAACAAAGAGACATTCCACGAATGCCTTCTAATTCTTTAACTGAAGAGAGCCCAAAAAAATCTAGACTCCTTGGAAATGGATAATTTAAAATATTGGATCGATTAAATTCTATGAATTACGACAAAACAGCCTGCAGAACAATATCGAATTGATACACGACAGCTATGTAAAACTGAAAACTACAAGATATTGTGGTGTGCTAATAAATGCATATAATCCAAAATTCTCAGAAAACGATTCGAAAAACTTCACTTATTATATGAACCCAAAGTTAAAGAAGCTATGAATTCTATTTCTTTCTCTTATTACAATCTGTAAAAGGTCAGAAACCAAATGGTGTTGTAAATATTTTGATGCGAAATGATTGATGTTGATTTTAAATCAATAAAATTATTTTCAACCCTACTTTAGTTCTCATCTTTCACGCTAAGCAAACTATTTTGGCATCAGTGTTGTTTCTTCAATTAAAACGGTTGACAAAGGCAAAAAAGGAAGCATATAGAAAAATTATTTGTTGCCGAACTGACGAAACTGAAACATAAACATAGAAAAACTATATCTCAATCACTTCAAGCAGAAAAATATAATGAAAACACCACTATTAATTTAGAAAAACCCCAATATTTAAAAAATGAGCTAATGCCTGCAAGGTTTTCTTAAAAAATATTTTATACTTAAGTAAATGTAGAAAATTAAATAGGTGCTACAAAAAAATATATATTTGAAAAAGTATTTTGAAAATACGTATCATATGAAATATAAAAGGGAAATCTATTTTGTATTTTACATTCGAAATAATAAATTAAAAAAGTATTTGCATTTCGTATTTAAATAATAGTTACAAGGAAGTATTAAATTGTGATGAAAACTTGTGTATATTCGTCTTTTAGGTACATTTAATTTATTTTTTATTTCGTAGCGACTTAACGACCGATAGTTTGAAATACTTATCTGCTGATCAAGCTCTAGCAGACCTCATGTATTTCATTGAATATCAAAAGCAAAACACACCAGGACTTCAAAATAGCACAGTGAGTAACAAGCAAAAGTACCTATCAGTACATTTAGATATCCAGTCCAGTAAAAAGACCCAAGAGCTTCAATTAAATTTGTCCAGTTTAAATATTTATTTTTCAGTATCGAGGGTTCACACAATTAGTGATAAACCTGTTCCCACTCGTGCAAGAGCTTCATTACCTGCCTCCTACCTTGTTATCAATAAAAAAGCAAATGATGGTAAAATTTTAAAACACTTTGTTTATAGAATAATTGGAATATTTTTTTTAGAATATGGTGTGTTTGCAAGGAAAGTTATACCAAAGAGAACTCAGTTTGGCCCTTTAGAGGGAAAACTTAAGCCTACAGAAAAAGTTAAAAAAGAAGATAGTCTATGTTTGCTATTGGAAATGGAAGAAGGAAAAATTATGCAGTTGGATGTCTCAGATGAGAGTTAGTATTATAAAAGTAATCCTTTAAAATCATTTATATTTATTTTTATTTTTTGAAGCTTCTTTAGGGGTTGCGACGCATTTTTGAATACTCTGTATTTTAAAAGAACTTATTTTAGAAATATTTGAATTACTTATAGGATACTGGTGTAAAGCTGTNTATTATATAAATAATAACTTTTAGGTGGTAGTTGCTGGTTCATCATATGCAGGAACGTTGGCAACATGGGCAAGAATAAAATATCCTCATATAGTAGACATTGCTTATTCTTCCAGTGGTCCTTTACATGCTAAAGCTGATTTCACAGGTAACGAAAGACCAATATATGTTTGTTCTTTAAATAACGGTAATAATATTGAATACCAAATTTACTTTTTGTTTTGTATGCATGCAGTATTTGATTAAAAGATTACGATAAGAAATTATTCATTTCCAAAATTACACTTTTTTCTATTATTAAACTAATTGCAGTATGCTTTGAATTACTTTTATACACATAAAAAGTAAGAAAAAGGTGACTGATTTTTGACCAGGGCCGAGTTTATTTAATTTTATACTTATACTACTTATGATATGAATTTATAACATCGTTTGAACTTCTCGTGCGCGCTGTTTAAATCACCTGTCTTATATCGACTAAATCGACTCAAATATGACATCATTATACAATTCTTGATATTTGGGGAAAATATCTCGTAAGTTTCTTTTATCACATCAGTCTCTATGCAGCCCTGCACTGTCTGCAAACGTGTCGCCGTATCGATCGCCGCTTAAGGCATACGCTTAAAACAATAGAAAATATGAAACAATTGCCGTGTTTCTGCAGAATATTTTGAAGTTGTGGAAGAAACTCTACGTCTTGCCTCCCCGACTTGTCCAGCGCTAATCAGAAGAGCTATGAGCGAAATAGTGGAACTGTTAGAAACTCCAGAGGGTTCTGCCAATGTATCAGAATTGTTTCGGTAGGTATGATTTTATATTTACAAAACGAATTACTATTACGATTAGATATATTTGTTACTTTAAGTAACGATTTTAACTTCTGTTTTCAGTACTTGTGCGTTTGTAAATGGTTCAGTAGAACCAGACAGGTCTTATTTTCTTAGTACCGTTGCTTCACCTTTTGCTACTGCAGTTCAATATGCTGTTCCTGGCGATTTGAATGCAGTGTGTGCGTACCTTGAGGCTGAAGAAGGATCTGATATAGAAAAATTAGCTGCTTATGTAGCACCAACGTCGGGATGTACGGCATCTTATGATTACTTTGTAGAATATTATTCCGCAACACAAATAGGATCGGGAGTTAGTAAGTATTTGGCCAATAAGTCAGTCCTAAGACTGGTTGGACACGCACCTCCACTCTTTCCTATCCTGAGCTAATCTTCGCATTTTCCCAAAACTAGAGCAACCCATATCCTTAATTATTTGCGAACAGTAATCTAATTTAGGTCTACCTCTGCTCCTCTTAACTCCTGTTTCTGCCTCTAATATGTCTCTGACTAGACCTTCATACCTGAGAAGGGTCCTACCAACTATCATGCCTATTTTTTATTGACTTCTAAAGAGTTCTCTGTTCTTCTATTCTTTCTATTATCTCTTTATTTCTAACTTTCTCTATCCACGGTATCCTCATCATTCGCCGGTAGCATCACATTTCGAACGTTTCTAACCTTTTTTTTCCGTCGTGCCCACCGTCCATGTTTCGCATCCGTACAGCGCCGCACTCCAAACATACACCTTTAACAATCATTTTCGAATTTCTGAATTAACCGTTCGCGAGCATAGAAGTGACTTCTTTTTATGGAAGGCGACTCGACCCTGCGCTCTCCTCTGCTTTATATCCCTACTACTCCTTCCGTCCTGACTTATCTGACTTCCTCGATACCTAAAATCATCCACTTCTTTTAATTTTTCATCTCCTATCTTTATATTCGCTCTTTCCGTACATTTTCTTTCCTTGCATACCAGTATGCCAATAAATGTAGATAAAAAAATATCCCTCGATATCACAGCTTTATCCCCATTGATTTATTTTTGTATTCATTTTACTCCTTTTTACTACCACTTTCGATAAAATTATGATAAATGTAGTTGATGTAACGAACATTATTAATCGAAGGACATATTAGAGATATTATGTAAAGAGTTTAGGAAAAGGCATTACTGATTACGTATTTCTTTTTTATTTAAGCGCGTCAGTGGTTATATCAAACATGTACTGAATATGGCTGGTATCAAACACAAGCATTTGGCGACACGTTTACGGTAGATCTGTATTATCAAATTTGTAACGACATTTACGGGGAAGTGTAAGTAAAAATTCTCATAATTGCCAATTACCATCCTGTGCAATAAGCATTTCTTTAATAAGATAGTGATTCCTACTGAAGAAAACATTTTCAAGCAATTTGCATTATAATTTAAGATTTGGCTCATCCACACTCAGTACCGGAATTCAGCGAACAAATTTATTTTATGGTAGCATAGAGCCGGAAGTAACAAGACTTATCACATGCCATGGTACAGGGGATCCGTGGCACAAAATGGGATTACTTAATGATTTAAGTGAGAATGTAGTTACAATTGTTGTTAATGGCACTTCGCATTCTGCCGATTTGTACTCGATTAGAGCTTCTGATTCCGAAGAGATGGTTCAGGCAAAAAACAGGATTATGGACACAATAAGTGCCTGGATATATGAAATAGAAGGAGACGGCGAATCAACAACAGAAATTCCAATAACGATTACGACAATTCCCCCAACGACACCAATTACTGGGGATGATGATAATAACAACGATACGGATAATTTCGCCATATCAAATCATCCAACGATGATCAGCTTTCTTGGTGTATTATTTATAGTACTTACTATGTAATTTGAAGAAATAAAATATTTTTTGTTGCTATAGAACTTATTTTACTTAATTGTAAGATGTACATACTTATTATATAATAATTTACATAAAATAAAATCTTTTACCATCAATTCGTTTTTCGTTATTTAACATTTATTTGCCCCGGATTTTTTCATTTATGATATTTCTAATGATAAATCTAATTAAAAACATTTGTAAGGTAAACAAAACCAAATTAAACTTTCTTATATATTTTCGGATACATTTATTAACCGACGAAAAAAGGATTTCAAGTTCACGCGTATATTTTTTTGTTATGTATGATTATACGTAACTTTTTAGTCATTGGTCAGATTTTGATTATTATTTTTTTATTTGATTACGGTATAGTTCGAAGTAGATTCCAGTTAAATTTGTAAAATCCACCCCTAAGGGTAGAAAAATAGCTAACGATCAAACTTTCAGCTATTAACTAATTCTACCATGCATAGCTTTCTACTGGGTGATTCAGTTTCGATGATTCCGTTTTTTATTGAATAGGAATGATCTTGAATATCTTCTTTTTTAAATCCACATATAAAGATACAAAAATAGGGAATTATTGATCTTTCACCTACTACGTGGTAATTTTTATCAAGAGTAGGTATCATTGTGTGTAAGAAAGAAAGTACTTTCTATTATTTACTTTTTACAATTTTTCGTCAGTAGTTTTGCTTTGCCGGTGTAGATTGTTAAATAATAGAGTAGATCATATTCTTCTTTTTACGACCAGTTTGATACTGATGATATGTTGATAAACAACCTTTTATCATACATTCTTATGTCATTTGACTTTTTTGTCCTTTCATTAGAATTGTTGCAGTGAGAAATACGAGGGTGGATTGATAAGTTTCCGGCCTAACCAAGAGATAACGCCACTAGGCCTACCTTGAGGTGACATTCTATAGTACCATCCTTGGATAGCTTGTAGCTATAGTTTCAGCCCGATCTCCTTGCTAGTGTAGGTTTGACAGCACGCTGAACAAGACGCCT